CCCCCCTGGTCGGGGAAAAATACCACAATTCGTCTGAAGAAATAATATGTAGGTTCTACATATTAGTAGATTCTAAAATCTAATAAATACAAGCCCGTGAAACACCTAAATTGTCATTTGTTTGTGGGGGTTGAGGTGGGGGGGGGGGAAGCCCAATCACGCCCACATTTTTTTTTGTCAGGGACATCGCCCCCTTCCCTTCATGGACGTCGTCTGTCAAGTCCTGGTGCCACCCCTAAATACAATCTTTGAGTACACTCATCAATGAAAGACCAGGCAAATAATCATACAATTATTCGGTGATGATGCGTAACAATTAATAGTAAATGTTCGTATTACGCCATAAACACGCGACACAAACGGATGAAACTGCTCTTACTGTTGGTCCAATGAAGGCTCACATTATCAACTGTCATTAAAGGACACATGAGGTTTCTAGTTAAACTACGTACTTCCTATTCTATTGAGATAATTGTTCAAAAAAGGGTTCGTAATATGAACCCTTTGAATATATATTATATAATTTTAAAACTATTAAAAAACAACTCATTGGCAAGGACTACCCTGAAAATCAGCCTTGCTGTGTGGGACTTTATCTTAAAAATGAAATTAACGAAACGATTTAAATATTTTCGACTTTAGAACAATACATTATTATTTCTACATTCTTCATTTTGAAATTTTGACATTAGATACATAATACAGTGTATTTATATAGCGCTGCTACATCAAAATCGTAGTGCTGGAGAAAAAAAAATAACTAGATTTGAACTTGTTACAAGGACTAGTTATAGGGTTACATGCATCTAAAGAAACTATAACTGAATAAAAATAGGCATTACTTTAACATATTTTCATGAATTTTGACACAAATGCGCAAACGTAATCGAATGTTTGATACGCGCGTACGGCGATGTTATTGCATATGGAAATATGTGAACACTGTCAAGAACCAACCCAAAATATGTAAAAAAAAAAAAAGTAATATTTAGCTTGTGTACGTGTTGCACGCATGAAAATGCGCGCACAGCGCTGAAAATGTGAAATATTTAGAAATGCTTAAAATAGCATAAAACGTGCACACTACTCTAATTTAGTCAAAAAGTTTTATTTTATACCCACTTTTTATTCCCTTTTAGCTGTTTTTTAGGTCTCTTTGTAATTTTACATTCAATTATAGCTCATTGCACGATTTGTAAATGTTGAATAAAGAATTTTAACAAAACAAGTAATTCGAACATTTTAAAATGTTGACGTACGCGTATGTGCGCGTTATCATGCGCACCCGGAAAATCTAGAAACATGACATTCAACCTTGGCCTGAAGTATATGCCTACTGAATATGATGTAGAAATGACGATTTAATTATGTTCGATAGTCGACTGATCAAATTGAAAAGCTTACTGTAACTACTCCAGGTCATGCCAAATGATCGTTTGAAGTTTTCATGTTAAGCTCTTGGCAATTTTTAGATATTGTGCTAAGAAAAAAAAAAGTGGGGGGGGGGGGAGCGGGGGAAAAGAAAGAAGTATACAAAAGAAGAAAAAGAACCCGATAGTTACAAGTGGTGATCCGCTTAAGATGCAGATCACTAACAAGTAAACAGTCCAGGAAAGTACGAGGTATTAGTTAACTGTACAGGCAAGTTTCCAATTTTTTGTTGTTTTTTTTTTTTTTTTAGTGTCTCAATCTCGAGTATTAATTGACAATTTGTCTCTGAGGTAAAATAAAAACCGGATTTTTGTGTTTTGAATATACTATGTTCAGTAAGAAGAGTAGTATCAGATTCCGAACGTAAAACTGATCTACGGTAAAAAAAAATAATCAAATAAAAAAAAAAGAAGGGAAATGCTCTTAGAAAGGTAAGATGGAGAATTTACCTCTAACAATGAGTCTCATTACTCCTCGGTTGTTGTTAACGGGACTGCCATCGGTATAACACTCATATATCCCGTCATCTATAGTGCGTATATTTGAAATCGTAACGGACGATTCACCATTCCATATTTGAATTTCGTCACCATAATTTTGTCTCCATCGTAAGTTGGTATAATCTCCGCCTTTACTGAGTTGGATAGTGACGGATTCCCCAATTCCAATAGTCATCGTTCGAAACTGCATTATAATGTCGGCTGCGGAAAAAAAAATACATAATAATAATAATAATAATAATAATAATAATAATAATAATAATAATAATATCTAGGCCTTATTTTAGGATTAGTGCTGCATAGCCTAGGCCTATGCCCAGCTAGACAGTCTTCAGGTCAACCTTATAATACAGTACATGTAAAAAAAAGAAAAAAAAATGAAAATGCCCATCCATAGCCAGGTAATATTTATATAAAATTCAAGAGGTTCAACAATAACGTCAGAAATACCAGCCTTGTGATGGCACAGACTTCTAGTCATCGCTACAATGAAAAAAAAAAACTCGTCGGAGTTTGCGCGATCTGCAACCATGTCCTCCAGTCAACAGGGTCATTTACATTTTGGTGGTATCAGAATCATACGCTGTGTGTTCCACTGTGTAATGACGTTTGGTAGTCTATTACTCATTCTGCAATTTTTATTTTAAAGTAATTGAAAGATCTGGTTTCATCGTGGTATTTCTCCAGGAGGACCAGCCCCCCCCCCCCCCCACATCCCGCCCCTTTTGGAAGGTAAAATAAAAAGAAAGAAAAGAAAAGAAAAGGAAGAATATGGAAAAAAAATCGCTCAAAACGACTCCGATGTTTATTTTCCCTCCAGGCAGGGACCCCCTGAATGGAGGGAAAAGCCATACAGTACCAGTATAACCCAATATGAATCACATAAATTACTGAATTATGAGAATAATATCAATATCGCATAGCAAATGGGTATAAATAAATTATATAATCTCCCGTCTAACTACAGTGTAGCACATAACTGTTTTTATCTGTTTACCTGTATAATATTTATTTTTTCGATTGCACGATTGGCATCAATCAAGACACTATACTGTACTTCTTTCTTGCACTTTTGTTTAAATTAAATCCGTCTATCGACGGCGTTTGTAAATCGTTGAAATGGTAATATTAATATTAATAAATCATTTACGTGGCATGGATGGTCATGATTAGAAAGAAAGATACAGAGTCAGATATCATTTATTCTAATAATATTGAATACATGAAATACATTACATAAATTTAGTAAATACTGTATCACGTTAAAACGCAACCCAAAAATGTTTTTATCACACCAACATTTCTGTTCGTATAATAGACGATGCAAATGTGTTGCTGTTTGCCGTTTTCCAGGCACGTTTAGTCACCACATGTATTTTTCCGTCGGTAAAGAACATGCAGGAGACGAAGTTTTCATAATCACCATATAGGCTGATCTATGAAAGTGAAAATTGGTATATACTGTAC